CGGCCCCGACCTGTCCCCCCCGGCCCCTGCGCCCGCCCCGCATCCCCCGAGCGCCCCCGGCGCTCCTGCCCCGCCCGGGGACGGCCGCGCTGCCGGCACCGGCCCTGCCATTTAAAATAAGGGAAGAAGGGGAAAAAATCACCCAGGCAGGAAAGCCGCCTCTCATTGGCTTCTCCTTCTTTAAATCCTCCTCCCCCTCTACTCGGCCCTAGTGAGGCACATCTGGAGTGCTGTGTCCAGGTGTGGGCTCCTCGGCACAAAACACGGAGAGGGTCCAGCAGAGGTCACAAAGATGATGAGGGATCTGGAGCAGTCACAAGGAGAGACTGTGGGAGCTGGAGCTGGACCTGTTTAGTCCAGAGAAGAAGACACAGAGAGGGGATCTCATTAATGCACATAAATATCTCAAAGGCGGCTGCCAAGAGGATTGTGCCAAGCTTTTTTCAGTGGTGCCCAGTGACAGGATGAGGAGCAGTAGCCACAAACGAAAACACAAGTTCCACCTCAACACGAGGAAGAACTTCTTTACGCTGAGGGTGGCAGAGCACTGGAACAGTTTCCTGGTGAGGTCTCCTTTTCTAGAGACATCCAAACCCACCTGGGTGTGTTCCTGTGCCTCCTGCTCCAGGTGACCCTGCCTTGGCAGGATGGGTGGACTGGATGCTCTCCAGAGGCCCCTTCCAACAACCCCAACAATTCTGTGATTCTGTAAAATGTGGAAAAGATGTTCAAAGAATGGAGTTGCCATATAAAAGCTTAGGGCCATCACCATTGCATGCTCCACTCAGCCCTGGAACAGCACTGAGGTGCCAGAACACATTGAGCACACAAGGACTGGTGAGCATTAAAGCAAAGAAAACAGTGGAAAAGACTGGGGGAGAGGCCTGGGTGATGCTTCTCTGATTTTATCCTGTCAGGCAGCATCAAATCATGTACAACCATAGAGAAGTATTAATTATACCAAAGCTTTTTAGGAAACACCCCATTCCAAAAGAAAGCTATCAGAATGAAAGCTGAGCAAACTAAAATAGCATTTTCAATTAAAAAAAAAAAAAAAAAAAGCTATGCTAAAACTGAAAACTATTCTGTAAGAGAGGCTGCAAACAGACACCCTGGGTAAAGCATTCCTGCTTTTGGGGAGTTCTTGACACCCAAACTACTGTACAACACACACGAGCATGCCTGGGCATCCCCTCTGGGAGGCTGTCACAGAGCTCTCGCCTGGCTGGGGCTGGCAAACAGCACCCCAGGACTCACAGGAGTCTCCTGGCCCTGGTGGTGACAGGCCTGGGACAAGGCTCATGCTGGCCCTGGCTTGTTCTACAGCAACAGGCTAAAGGCCAGGGGTGCTGCAGGGATGGGCACTGTGCTCATGCCCCTCACTGCAGTCAGCACTCACTTTCAGTGCCTGTGCTGAGCTCTGGCTAAGTTTCCCATCTATCTAGGCAGGTTTTATAGAATCAGAGAATCATTTAGATTGGAAAGGACTTCCAAGGTCACCAAGTCCAACTGATAACCCGGCATTGCCAACTCCACACCACTAAACATGTCCCTTAGGGCCACACCTACCCAGCTTTTCAGTACCTCCAGGGATGGTGACTCCACCACTGCCCTGGGCAGATTGTTACAATGCTTGGCCATCCCTTTGATGAAGGAATTTTTTCTAATATCCAACCTAAACCTCTCCTGGCACAACCTGAGGCCATTTCCTCTGGATCTGTTGCTGCTAGTTGGGAGAAGAGGCCAAGCCATCTCACTACAGCCTCCTTTCAGGTAGTTCTAGGGAGCAACAAGGTCTCCCCTGAGCCTGCTTTTGTCCAGACTGAGCACCCCCAGCTCCCTCCTCACATGACTGACTCTCTAGCCCCTTCACCCAGCTCTGTTGCCTGCTCCTGGGCACACTGCAGCACCTCAGTGACTATTGCCAAGCAGGTCTCCAGCTGTCAAGTAGGTTTCTAACACATTTCCAGTCAGTCATTGCCTTGCCAAGGAATTTCTTGCAGTGCTTTCAAAGCCAAAGAAAACACTGCACTGGTAACATTCATCAAGAGAAGCACCACTGTAGCTGCTGGTCACAGATTATCCATTGCATGCTGGAGGGGCTGTGCAGGGCCAGTAGAACCAGGGGATGGACAGGTACACAAAAATAAGGAAAACATCCACTGCTCCTCCAGTGGCTGGGAAACCCTCCCTAGCCTGGAAAGCTGGGAGACAGGGAGCAGGCAGCCACCCCTGCACACAGCACCAAAAAATCCAGCAGCTCCTTGTATGAGAGGCCTGCTGCTACAGCACACAATATTACACTCATTACTTGCAAACAGCCCACCTGTGAATTAAAAACCCCACATATTTTACTAATGACTGCCTTGGGGCCTGGAGAAAGCATTGTGCTGCCAAGTGCTGGGTGCAGGGTTTGTACACACTGCATGTGCTGTGTTGTTTCAGCCAGCTCTCATGGGACCCTGCTCCCTCAGAGACCAAAGGCAGAGTTTCTGGGGCTGGGGTGCAACAGGAGAAAGCATTGTGCTGCCAAGTGCTGGGTGCAGGGTTTGTACACACTGTGTGTGCTGTGTCGTTTCAGCCAGCTCTAGTGGGACCCTGCTCCGGAGACCAAAGCTCAACCTTTAGCAGCAGTTCCCAGGGCAGGCAACCTCAGGTCCTCTTCAGCTCCAGGTGTGATTTTTAAGTGGCAAGTTCCACATGCAGGATTAAGCCCCTTGGACACTCACTCAGCATGTGCTGCAAGGGTTTGCAGGGGCAGGTCTGAGGAGCTCGACCCAAAACCTGTTAAAGCTGATGACACTGTGCCCTCTGATTCAAGGAGCTTTGACTTGGGACCTGCTGACCTGGGCAGATCTTGTGCAAATGTTTTATTACTGTTTTAGCTCACCTGTAGGTGGCTGGAGGAGAAAAACAAATAAACTCCTAGCCCTGAGAATTAAAACAAGATGAAGTACTGGAAAGGCACAGTCACCTTGCATTAACACAGTGGTATTAGTACAACAGTGACTTTTAAACTACATCCTGTTTTCAAACAAGAATTTTGTAACTAAATTATAAATATCTTTGTATAGGCTTATGCCTGCTGTGCTCTTTATTATTCTAGCCTGGTTTCTAATGCAAGGCTCTACTTTTATCTTCAGCTTTTAAATGAATGCAGCTCCCACTAAGCAACTTGGTGCCGTGGGGCAGACATTCCACAGGCTGCAAGCACAGCTGGTGCCTGACTGGATCACTTCACTGCATCCCAATAGATAACAGTCTGGTGCAGTGCACTGCTCATCTCCTGTGCCACCACCCAACAACAAGCCTTGGACTGAGCAGCAGAACCTCAGTGTGATGTGGCAGGGACAGGGAGCTAAGGAGAGGGAGATGCATGTGATGAGAATCTCGAGCCCATATTTATTTCTAGGTGCCAAAACAGATTTAATATTTCATTAGCTGTGGAGTTTGCAAGACAGCTGATTATGTTGGGCTAGGGCAAAGCAGTCAGTGTTTTTAAACACAGAGCATCCATTTGAAATGACTACAGCCAGGCACGGGCTAGGCGGTTGATGAAATATTTAGCTTGTAAAGCATTTCAGTGTGCAAGGCTGAGGCCAGTTGTGGGTGCTGTGATGTTGAAAACCACAATACCCAAATCTGAGGTGCCCCAGCCCTCAACATGGAGGCCTCAGAGGTGCAGTAGTAGCCAGGGAGTGGGGCTATAGGGCTTCAAGGTCGCCCCCTGTGCCAGGGTGCAGGAGCCCTTGCTGGGCATGGATTAGTTTGGGAGGGCACAGGCATCAAAGCCTTTCCTGCAACTCAACTTGCCAGATAATGCTGCCTCTTGCACCCTTCTCCCAGATTTCAGTGTCTGAAAGCACTTTCCTGTAGGGGTAAGGAAGACACTGTCCCCTCCAGAAGAAATTGTTTTAAAGCAAGTTTGGCTTTTTGTTGTCATAAGACCTGGTATTTATTTTATTAGCTATTTTTACTCATTATTTGCTTATTGGAGTTCGCTAGTTCTTCCTATAATATAGCCCAAATCCTCTAAATTCTTGGCATGCCCTGCTCTGTGTGCACATGTTCACCCCAGAGTGATGTGGATGCAGCATCAATACAGCTGCAATGGGGGAAACTGGTGCAAACAACCACAGAACTCAGGGAATGGTGTTAGCATTGGAACTGCTGCAATGGTACCCAGACTGGATGGTTCAGCTGTGCTGAAGCTTCAGAGGAACCTGGGTAAGAAACTGCTAACCTACTTCTTTTGGGTTAAAATTTGCAACTTAACAACCTTTGCACCAGATGGCAAAGTTTAAATGAGTTTGTCCAAGGGTAACAGAAGAAATGAAATCTGGTTTCTGCCTCCCTCTGACACAATTTCACAGTTCCTACCCTTGGTACCCTTCAACTTCCTCCATATCTGTGAACCCCTCTCCAAGCCTTCAATCCCTCTTCTCTGTCTCACACATCCACAATATCCTACTCTCATTTCTGGACTATTTACATGTTTTTCTGCCTCAGCTCCCTCCCATTTCACCTGTAAATGGTGCCCAATATTCAGTAACCCCAGCTTCCTTCCACATCTCCTGACCTGAGCTGTGTGGTTGGCAGCAGTAGCACCTGCTCAGGTTTTGCCAAGGTGCTGCTCGGATGCTCAGTCCATCAGTCCTGCTCACCACAGATGCTGGGTCAGATTCTCCCTGCCTTTCTGACAGAAACCAGAGAAAATACAATCATTTTTCCCAAGCAGTGCTTAAGTTCATTTAAGAATCCACTGACAACCCAATGATGTGGCATTCAAAAAAAGGGTACAAAACTCCATGAATTTATCCAAATCCAACCACCAACTCAATCCCTAGTCAGAGCTCACTGGCTGAAACACTTGCTCTGTTTCTCAATTCATTTTTTAACTATACAAGCAGACCCTGGTATAAGGGAGGGCTTCACTGAGGCACATATTTCTAATTCAGCTGAAGAGTTAAAGGGAAGCCAT